TGGTATCAGAGACTGATCAAACTCCCAAGTAAGTGCCAGCCCCTAGTGCATAGAGGACATTCATAGCTCTCTCCCCTCCTACTCACAAATCCTTCTCTGCCAAAGCTTCTCCGGGTGTGCGTGTGAGAGCACCTCCTGTCAGAATGTAAAAGGCTGGACCCTTGATCCACCTGCTTTACTAAGTATTCCCCAGACGTGTACTTGTACATGTGTAGGATCAAGTACATAAAAGGATTATTAGCTAGTTTGTAATAATAGTCAAACACAGCTTTCCCTACAATGTCTAGCGACAGCAACTGATTAAGTAAGTGACCCTTTTGCCAGGCATTGGTGGCGCACACCTTTAATCCCAGAACTCGGGAGTCAGAGGCAGATGGATCTCTGTGAGTTTGAGGCCAGCCTGGTCTACAGAGCAAGTTCCAGGACAGCCTCCAAAGCCACAGAGAAATCTTGTCTCGAAAAACCAAACCTAATAAATAAATAAATAAATAAATAAGTGACCCTTTTATGTAAGGGTCACTGTAAGTATTAGTACAGCAGCAGATATAGGTGTGATTATGAGATGTAGTTAATAAAAACAGGAGAGTTCAGAACAGTGTAATAGTATAAAATATTTATATGAGATGCAAAGATACTGCTACTTGTAGAGAATTGATGGACTCTTCCTCCACTGAGCTGGAACCCAGTGGCTAGAAGAGGGTTGAGAGGGAGACTTAGATTACTGTGCAGCATTTTGAAACATTTTTTTCTTTCTGAAGGCTGGGCTACAGGTGTCACTGTGCCTAGTTCTCTTTTTGTTTTCATTTAAAAATAAACTACCTATTGTAATTGGATATTTTTCTCCCAACCACCCAGTCTCAAGTAACCAAGTAACCATTCTAAGGCTTATATTAATTACAGACACTTGGCCGATATCTCAGGCTTATTACTAGCTAACTCTTGCACTTAAAATTAACCCATATTCCTCATTTACGCTCTGCCACATGGACGCACCCTTACTAGCCTGGCACGTTCATCTCCTGCTCCCTCTGTGTCTGACTTGTGACTCCATGACTCTGCCTTTCCTCATTCATCGTTCTGTTTGGCTTTCCCGCTGCCTTTATCCAGTTCAGCTATTGGTCAGTCAGCGTGTTTATTAAATAAATCATAGTGACATATATTCACAGTGTACAGAAGGACTATTCTACAGCAACCTGTGTTCACCTGTTCCACCATGTTAGGTCTTGTGGTCCTGGTTACAGATTGGGGAGGCGGGATAGGGCCTTCTTCCAGTTTCTAGGCATTTAGGTGGCTTTCTTCTGGTTTCCTTTCCATGATCTCAGACCTGGAAGTTAAAACACTAGAGCCTGTGGATCAGATTGGATCAGATTTACCTTACTGCTAGTACCTAGGCTACCCTTGCAGAGGATTAGTAATTATGACCTACATTTAATAGATGGAAATCAAGGAGGTTCAAGGTCATGTATAGAGATGGGATAAAATTTCATGAACTATAAACTCATCATAAGCTGTAATGGAGCCGGGCGTTGGTGGCACACGCCTTTAATCCCAGCACTAGGGAGGCAGAGGCAGGCGGATCTCTGTGAGTTCGAGGCCAGCCTGGTCTACAGAGTGAGTTCCAGGACAGCCTCCAAAGCCACAGAGAAACCTTGTCTCGAAAAACAAAAACAAAAACAAAAAAAAAAACAACCAAAAAAAAAGCTGTAATGGTTCTCGCATTATCTTTTTCAAAGCAGTCAGTTTTTGCTAAAGGCAACTGCCTTTCTCTGATGCTTTCTTGGCAAGCTGCTTGTTTTTGAGATAGGGACTATGTTTCCCTGGTTGTTCTGGAACTCAGTACGTAGACCACACTGGCCTCTAACTCCCCAGATCTCCAAGTGCTAGGATTGAAGGCATGTATCACCACACAGGCCAATCCTTTGGAGTTAAGAAAGCATCCCTCTTTTCCTGCCTCTCTGTGCCTACTATCTATTCGGACTTCCTTTCTTTCTAGGACAGTTTACTCTCCCAAGACACCAGCAGTCAGGGCCAGCCTTAATTCATACGCAAGCTCCACTCCCTAACCAGGCACTGAGCCAGCCAACAAGAGGTGTTGCTTTCCACAACTTACATGTGGGTATCTGTTTACACTGCTACAAGAAAGCCATTGGAATCTTCGTTTCCTAGCTGCTCTTGTCCAGGAAGTGGTGCTTCATCCAAGATTTCTTCTTCATTATAAATCAGGCCTGGTGGTTCATCCATGTAATCACTGCACTAGGAAGGTTATGGCAGGAGGACCAACCCAAGTTCAAAGCCACACCAGGCTACACAGTCAGTTCCGGACCAGTCTAGACTAGAGCAAGATACTGTCTGAACGGAACAAAAACAAAGACCTTTTCTCACACACAACTGCCCCAAGTCTTCTCTGGTCATCTATTGGCTCCTTTACAACAGGCTCTCAGAGTCACTTCCTCCCACGGTTCCTATGTCCTTGAAACCAAGAAAATATATGATGTCTCCTGTAATGCCCACTGCACACCAATGGTGGTGCCCATTGTGCACACTACTTAGAAAAAGAAAGGGGCGGGGTTTGTTTAGTTTTTTGTCGTGTAGCCAGGTTGGCTCTGTACTGGTGATTGCACTGTAACTGTAATCCAAAAGCACTGGATTACAGACACACACCACCATACTCACTTATTCATTCATTCAGATAGGGCCTTGTTTTGTAGCCCAGACTGGCCTGACACTCAGTTACTCAGGTTGTAAATTCAGGTCTCAAACTCATGGTAATTCTCCTGCTTCACCCTTTCGAATGCTGTGATGATAGACATAAGCTACTGTACCTAGCTCTTTTGTACCTTATGTGGTATATTTGTAATTGATTATCCAGTTAGTATTTGATGAAATCCAGACGTGCAGAAACAGACCTGTAATGCCAATGGTTAGAAGGCAGAGGCAGAAACACAATTTCCTGGCCAACCTGCGCTGCATAACAAGATCATCTCAAAAAGAAAACAAAAACAACACGCTGAAGCTGGGTGTTGGTGGCACATGTAAAAACTAAAAAGTTGAAATATCTCAGGCTGGCGGCTGGCGTGGTGGCGCATGCCTTTAATCCCAGCCCTCGGGAGGCAGAGGCAGGCAGATCTCTGTGAGTTTGAAACCCTGTCTTGAAAAACAAACAAAATTTCCAAAGAGCTGGAATAGAGTCTGGTACTGGAAAGCTTCACATGTGTATTAGGTGTTGTTGACCCAGATAGACTACACAGTAACACCGTTTGACACCAAGCTGTCCCTTTTGCTGCTGCTTCAAGAACAATTGGGTTCTTTTTTGTTTTTGTTTTTCAGAGACAGAGTTTCTCTGTAGCTTTGGAGGCTGTCCTGGAACTTGCTCTGTAGACCAGGCTAGCCTTGAACACACAGGGATCCGCCTGCCTCTGCCTCCCTAGTGCTGGGATTAAAGGCGTGCGCCACCAACGCCCGGCTAGCAAGTAATTCTCAACACTATTATATGCCAGGCAATTCTGCAGGCAGCAGGGATACAGCAGACAACAGTTTGTGTTCTCCTGGCTGGGGAAGGGGTAAATTAGCAATAAACAGCCAAGGAAATACCAGGTAGGTGATAATACCTAAAAGCATAACTTGGGGTCCAAGAGGGAGTCTCCTAGTGGCGATTCACACCAGACGGCTGAGGAAGACCCCATACAGGCAGATCAGATCGGAGAAGACATGCCAGTATAATTTCACACCCAGAGCTCACCTGTCTCCTCCCAAGTGCTTTTAGCCTCCTCTGCTTGGAAATACCCAGAGTCCTGGCTCACACCAATGGTTCTTCCTGCCCCTCTACCCAGGAGTCTCTCTTGGCTCCATCCCATACAGTTCAAGGTGTGACCCTGGTCACTGTCTCTCTATAAAGACAAAACGTCCACACCACAGCACTGGTTCCCACCTCATGCCCTGACCACAGAGCACTTGCAAGGAGCTGTGTCCTCTACCGTGTGGAAAGGACTTAGCAACTATTTCGACTTATCTCCAAAGGCCCGTGCTCAGATAGAAAACGTGGGACCCAACAGATCCCGCTTGTATGAAAATCTTCCGAGGTTGGGCACACGCATTTAATCTCAACACACGTGAGGCAGGCAGGTCGAGGCTAGCCTGGTCTACATAGTGAGCTCCAGGACAGCAAGAGCAAATAGTGAGACCCTGTCTCAACATCCCTGGCAAACTCTTCCCCAGGTGATTTCACAGGGCTAGTCCACTCGCAACTCCGTCCTCCAGGCCACTGAGGGAGCTCGTGAGTGGTCACAGGCCGGCCAAAAACTCCACCACACACCGGAAGTCAGTCACCTCTCCGACTGCCCCACAAGGAGTTAAATCTTCCGCGCGAGTTAGACATTAAATGAGCTGTTCGAGCACTGCACACACCACACACACGCAACTGCCTTTATTAGGAGCTCTCAGAAGAACGGTGGCCCGCAGCACACCACTACAGCCAAGGGGAGGCCGAGGACCGGGGGCTCTAGGCCCTCGACTTCCGGCGCTCTCCGGCTCCTCAGCAGGAACGCGTGGCCAACACTTCAGGCTGCAGCGAAGTTCACGGCGGGGCGCAGGCTTCGGCAGCGCGGAGAAATCCCCGAGCAACACCCCCGGCCACGCGAACCTAGAGGTCCGTGCAGCACTGGACCACCCGAGGGCCTCCGGGCCAGGCCGCCACCCCCACGTCCCTCACACAAGCCGCGCCAAACGGGCGCGCTCCACCGCGCAGGCGTGGCGAGCGCGAGCCGCTACGGTACGCGGAAAGGGCCCTCACACCAACCAGTCAACGTCCGCCTGGCGCGGCGCTAGTCCCGCCTTCAGGGCGCTGCCGTCAGGCCCCGCCCTCAGCAGCCCCGCCCCCCGCGCCCTAGCCCCGCCCCACGCCGTCTTGGGTTAAAGGCTCGCGGTTGGCCAGGGGGACGGACGCGCGCTCTGGTTGGTGGAGGCGGGGTCACGAGGACACCGTCGTCGCCTTTCCAGAGGCGATTACTGGGCAGGCTCAGTCTTTTGCCTCAGACGCTAGCTGTAGCTGGCAGTCGGTCGTACGTGCTCCAGTGTCTTCGGTGCCCGTCGCCGCCGTCGAGTTCGCGTGGGTTCTCCGAGGCTCCTCCGAGCTGCGCACTTGGCCACCTGCGCCGTCGTCACAGCCCGCCACCATGGTGAAACTCGCAAAGGTGAGAGGCCCCGCGCGCGCCGACACGGACGGCTAGGCCTGCTTTCGGAGGGGCGCGCGCGCGCGCCGCTGAGGGGAGGAGGGCCTGCGCGCAATCCCGGGCGCGTTCGAGGGCGCCATGCTGGGGGAAGTCTCGCGCGACTAGCGGGAGGTCTCGCGGTGTTTGGCCCCTGACTTGGTGGTGCGGCAGAGCCGGGCCAGGTTCCGGGAGGTGGGTGTTGAGGGCGCCGCGTGTGTGCGTGTGCGTGTGCGTGTGCGCAGGGTGGTGAGATCGCAGGGGCCGACACCGGGTGGAGACGGCGACAGGCCCGCCGAGGGAACCGGGACCCAACTCGTGGGAGCGGCGCCGGCGGGGCCCCGCCTCCTGGCGCACGTGCTCGGGTGCGCGGCCCGCCACGTGGGTTTTGGCGCCCTGCGTGTGTCGCGCGTCTCGGGATGGGGCGTCCCGGTGTACCGGGAGAGAGGGCGGCGGGGTGCCTAGCCATGCCCTCGTCGTCCGTGACGGGCCGACCAACACGTGGTGGGCATCCGAGGAAGCGCGTGGTGGCCTGCTTGGTACCTCCACGTGGCCCGCCCCCAGCGCGAGGAGGTCGGAAGTACTTCCCTAACAGGGGTGCTCCTCTTAAAAAAGGGCTATCACAATAATCCCCCGCCCCAGCAAGTAATTCGGAGGAAGGTGCTAGAAAAACGTTTAGTAGTGAACTGCTTTCAGTCGCCTAGGAAAGAGAAAGGCGGATTATAGGTGCGATGTTTCTGTCTCAGGAAAAACTGCCATATATAATGCCAATTGATGTCTTTTATGCTTAGGCCCTTTAACAACATAGACAGTGGGCCTTAAGAAGGTAATGGTGAAATACAAAATGACTTGAAAATGGGTATCGACATGATTTTGTGTGCACTTGCGTAGGCCGGCAAAACCCACGGAGATTCTAAGAAAATGGCTCCTCCTCCAAAGGAGGTGGAAGAAGATAGTGAAGATGAAGAAATGTCAGAAGATGAAGAAGATGACAGCAGTGGAGAAGAGGTACACAGCTAACTTTAATCCCAGCAGGAGGGAGGCCGAAGGCAAGAGGTTTCCGTCAGTTCAGAGCTAGCCTGATCTACAGAGGGAGTTTCCAGGACAGCCAAGGATACACAAGAAACCCTATGTGAAAAACAAAAAAAAAAAGATTTAAGACTTAGAAATAAAACCAGTGGGATTGAATGTGTGTTAATCAGAAATACAGTAATCTAGTGTGTAAAAATAGTGACAAGTTCTTTTATTGATAATCATTTGAGTATTTAAGAGTTTAACAGTCCATTCGAGGGGGATGATCACTCTTCAGTCAGGCTTCACATGCTGTATTAAATAGAATGCCCCACAAATTTGTAGGGTGTAATATTTATTAAGAACTCAGGGTTTTGATTTAGATGAGAGTTGGAGTCAGGGTCTCATGGTTTAGGTATCAATATATTTATTTTACTCAAGTGTGTTTTAAAGAACCAAACAGCCCTATTTAGATGGAAGGGTAACCTTTTAATTCTTCAAACAAGATTTTACCTATTATTCCCAGTATTCCATCATCAGGCATGTTTTGCTTTTGTAGTGCTGTTCCCTGTAACTTAGGTAAGAATTAGCCTACTATATAAACTTTGGTAGAGCAAATCAATTTTTAAAATACATCAGATAATGGATTGAAGACTGCTACTAACCCATTTACTAAATCTGGTACTCTTTAGCACTCTGGTTCCTTTAAAGACATGGTCTGCCAGGTAGTGGTGGTGGACACCTTTAATCCCAGCACTTAGGTGACAGAGGCAGGTGAATCTGTTGGAGATCAGCCAAGTCTACAAGAGCTAGTTTCAGGACAGCCTCCAAAGCCACAGAGAAACCCTGTCGGGTGGGGTGGCGTGCATGGTTATTTAATTCCAGCATCCAGGACACAGCTGGGGGTATATAATATAGAAGAGCTATATTAGTAACTAACAAATGGCTTGGATGGAACTTTGTTTTTTTTTAATGAAAGTAAAATACACATTGCTGCTTAAGGGTAGTGTGTAGGGGTGCAGTTGGCCAGTTTCATTTATGAGGGTTACTTAAACTTGGGTATTTGAGCACCTGCAATTGTAAGCCATGTATTCTGATTCCAAGGTTTTAAGACTTATGTGTTTGAGTTAGTGTTAGAGTGTTTATCTGTATTTGTGTGAGTGTACTAAGCATGCCTGGTGGACTTAGGCTAGAAGAATACTCTTAGATCCCCTGAAACTACAGTTGGAACCATCAGGTGGATGCTGAGAACTGGCCTTTGGTCCCCTGCTAGAGTGACAAGGGCTCTTAACTGCTGAGCCATCTCTTCAGCACTTTCACTCCAGGGTTTAACATATACTTAATTCCAGTGTTGGGCTCAAAGTTAGTATCAGTATCTTAACATAACATTGGGTATGGGGGAAATGATAATTACTCGTTTACTTTTAAGGTTGTCATCCCTCAGAAAAAAGGAAAGAAGGCTACCACAACTCCAGCAAAGAAGGTGGTTGTTTCACAAACAAAAAAAGTTGCAGTTCCCACACCAGCTAAGAAAGCAGCTGTTACCCCAGGTAAAAAGGCAGCCGCCACACCAGCCAAGAAGGCAGTTACACCAGCCAAAGCACTTCCAACACCTGGAAAGAAGGGAGCCACACCAGCGAAAGCATTGGTAGCAACCCCTGGTAAGAAGGGAGCTGTCACTCCTGCCAAGGGGGCTAAGAATGGTAAGAATGCCAAGAAGGAAGACAGTGACGAGGATGAAGACGATGACGATGATGAGGATGAAGATGACAGTGATGAGGAGGAAGAAGAGGAGGAAGAGGAGGAATTTGAACCACCAGTAGTGAAGGGAGGAAAACAAGCAAAAGTAGCTGCTGCTGCTCCTGCTTCAGAGGATGAGGATGAGGAAGATGATGAAGAGGAGGAAGATGATGAAGAGGAGGAAGATGGTAGGTAGATTTCTGTTAGCGGATGGTTAGAGCTAGGGAGTCTTGCAAACAGTAGTGCGTGTGCTTTCCCTAACCATTTCATGGTAGATTAGAAGAAAGTCACATAAATAACTAAGCATGTCAGGATTTTATTTGCTTTCTGTGGTTTTTGTGTGTAGGATTCATGTTATCTGGATTTCTTTCAGACTCTGAAGAAGAAGCTATGGAGATTACACCTGCCAAAGGAAAGAAGGCTCCTGCAAAAGTTGTTCCTGTGAAAGCCAAGAATGTGGCTGAAGAGGAGGATGATGATGAGGAAGAGGAGGATGATGAGGAGGAAGAGGAGGAAGAAGATGAGGAAGAGGAAGAAGACGAGGAAGAGGAGGAAGAGGAAGGTAAGTAAAGTACATTGAGGTACATTGATCTCAGTAATGTTTACTGAAGTGCTTAAATGTCTACCTACTCATGAATGACACTAAAAATCTTATCCAGAGCCTGTTAAAGCAGCACCTGGAAAACGGAAGAAGGAAATGACCAAACAGAAAGAAGTTCCTGAAGCCAAGAAACAGAAAGTGGAAGGTAACCCTGCAAGATTGGGGACTGAGAAGAGATAAAGATAGCAATAGCACAAGTGATGAATGACAAAGGGACTTAATACTGAAACCTGGTGTTGAGACTCAATGTGCTGATGTGCTTTATAGAAGTTTTAATGATGCTTATGTGTAGTGAGAATTAAGTGAACTAAAAGTTCATTTTCTGTGCAGGTTCAGAATCAACTACACCTTTTAATCTGTTCATTGGAAACCTTAATCCAAACAAGTCTGTTGCTGAATTAAAAGTTGCCATCAGTGAACTTTTTGCTAAACATGATCTTGCTGTTGTGGATGTCAGAACTGGTACAAATAGGTAAGTTTTTCATTGAACATTAAATGTGGGTTAGCTGGTGCTTTTAAATTCTCCATGCTCTTAAACACGAGGTATATACTTAAGATTAGACATTAAAGAACTAAGTCATCAACTAATGGAACTTATAAATTTGAAATTTCACTATTTGACTTTTTTTTTTTGGTTTTTTTCGAGACAGGGTTTCTCTGTGGCTTTGGAGGCTGCCCTGGAACTCGCTTGGTAGTCCAGGCTGGTCTCGAGCTCACAAGAGATCCACCTGCCTCTGCCTCCCGAGTGCTGGGATTAAAGGCGTGCGCCACCAACGCCCGGCTCACTATTTGACTTTTTGTGTCATGTCAAATAACAGCAAGCTTAAGAATTTGGTATTTTTGGTCAGGCGATGGTGGCGCACGGCCTTCAATCCCAGCACTTAGGCAGAAGCAGGTGAATCTATTGAGTTGGAGGCCAGCCTGGTCTACAAAGTGAGTTCCAGGACAGGCTCCAAACAGAGAAACTCTGTCTCAAAGGGGAAAAAAGGATTTTTTTGGATTTGAATAGTCATAGTGAATGCTTTTAGCTAGAAGGATTCTTTTTTGTTGTTGTTTTACGAGACAGGGTTTCTTTTTTGGTGTCTGTTGGTCCAGTCTGGCCTCGAACTCACAGAGATCCGCCTGCCTCGCCACCAACGCCCGGCTTAGCTAGAAGGATTCTTATTATTTAGTTAGTACTATCAGGTAACAGTGTAGTAGGTAAAATATATGTAAATTTGCTATCCTTTGTTGGTACATAGACTTGATTCTATGGGAGATAAAATAATCTAGATCACTCTCATGTCTGTAATCTTGTCCTTTTCATCTTCAAGGAAATTTGGTTATGTGGACTTTGAGTCTGCTGAAGATCAAGAGAAGGCCTTGGAGCTCACTGGCTTAAAAGTGTTTGGCAATGAAATTAAACTAGAAAAACCAAAAGGAAGAGATAGTAAAAAAGGTACGTTAAGAGACTGGGTGACTTGGAAGGTAGGGTGTGCCCCTTCTCCCGTAGTAAACAAGTGAGATTGACGTGAGTGAGGTGTTTGGTCTCTAGAAGCCACGTGGAGAAACTCCAGAATTGTCCTCTGGCCACATGCACATCATGACATGTCTTAGTTTGCATCATGCACACAGTAAAAAGTTGAAATATCTCAGGCCAGCGTGGTGGCGCACGCCATTAATCCCAGCACTTGGGAGGCAGAGGCAGGCAGATCTCTGAGTTCTAGGACAGCCTCCAAAAACAGTACACAAAAACCAAAAAAAAGTTGAAATGTCTCTTAAAATGGATTCTTGATGCCCAAAGAATTTTGTATTTTAGAATTGGGGTTTGAAATGTTTGTTTTATATTTAGTAGGGTGCTAAAAATTGAACAAGCAACTCTGCATGCTAGGCAAACACTCTTAATACTGCTACATATCCTCTGTTCCCTTTTGAACGTTTGACAGGGTAGATATGAATTTGTGGTTTATGCAGGTTGAGAACTTAATGGGTATAGGCCCAGGTTACTGATTGTCCATATTTGTGATGACATCTTAGAGAGGAGACCTAAATCAAAATAAACGTGTTTCATATATACTTTAATATATAGCTGTGGGAACTTTATAATATTTTTAGTGGGCTTATATTTGACAGGCTAGTAACAGGCCACATGTTGCCTTTCGTCTTTGGTTAATGTCATTTTTTAGATTCAAATTTATTCATTAGCAGTGAGATTAGTAAACAAGGTCCTCTCAAACTATATCAAGCTGCTAATTATTACTATTTGACATTGCTTTATTGTCACATGTTAAATGGGTTGGATGTGGTGGGGTTTTCCTTTCTCTATAAGAATTGAACTTGAGTTTTCTTTGTACAAAGTGTTCTTCACAGTATCTCCATCGCTTATCCCTTCATTCTTAGCATAGAACCTTTTTCTTTTTTGGTTTCTCGAGACAGGGTTTCTCTGGCTTTGGAGGCTGTCCTGGAACTCGCTTGGTAGCCCAGGCTGGTCTGGAACTCACAGAGATCCGCCTACCTCTGCCTCCCAAGTGCTGGGATTAAAAGCGTGCGCCACCAACGCCTGGCTCCTTTTTCTTTTATAGGAGCTATTTGCATTAATCTCTTATGACTTGTTTAATAATCTTAATTTGTTTTGTTTAATCTAGTTCGAGCTGCAAGAACACTTTTAGCAAAAAATCTTTCTTTTAACATCACTGAGGATGAATTAAAAGAAGTGTTTGAAGATGCCTTGGAGATCAGATTGGTTAGCCAGGATGGGAAGAGTAAAGGGTATGTTTTGTGTCTGTTTAGCTTTATTAATAAAAAGGTGTTTGAGTGGTTGAGTCATCTTCCCCTCTCCTACTCTAAACAGGGTCTCATGCAGTTCATGCTGTTTAGTGATATATTACTTATCTATTGACGCTTACCTGTGGGTACAGAAAGCAGAGATAGCCACAAACCATAGAGCTAGGCAGTGGTGGGACACATTTAATCCCAGAACTCAAGAGACAAGCAGATGGGGCTGTTCAAGAAATTGATCCAGTCTAAAAGAAGCAGCATACAAAGGTGGTCTCAGCACTTGGGATCATACATCTTTAATCCCAGCATTTGAGGTGTATAAGATACTCGGTGAGCTGGGCGTGATGGCTAACGTCTTTAATTCTAGCACTCAGGAGACAGAGGCAGGCAGATCTCTGAGTTTGAGGCCAGCCTAGTCTACAGAGCAAGTTCCAGGACAGCCTCAAACAGAAAAACCCTGTCTCAACTAAAAAAAAAATAGCTGTGGATATTCAGTCTTGAGAATTTATAAACAAGCCATGTTGAGAAGCTGCAATCTAGGATTGCAGTTTGAGGATTCCTGAAGCTACCCGAATTACCCACTCAAGTCTGAGGTAGAGGTAAGAGCTAGTGGCTGGCTGCTTTGCTTATCTGATCCTCAGCTTGGAGTCACTGGATCTTATTTTTCAGTGCTGGTCTCAAACTTAATTTTGTAGCCAGAGACTGAACTGGTACTTTAGCCTTCAATCACCTAGCTCTGAGATTGTGTGGCTCTTGACATCCTAAAGGGTAGGAAGATAGCCTATGTGTTTTTAAAGGATGATTTTTAAAGATGAGCCACTATATGAAAAAGAACTGCAAAGCCCTGTAAGTAATCACTCGCCACCTATTTTAGTAACTTGAGTGCACACATGACTGAGATTACATGGTTACTCTGGTACTTAAATGACACTTACCTAATGTGTTTATGCTTGTTTATTGCAGGATTGCTTATATTGAATTTAAGTCCGAAGCTGATGCAGAGAAAAACTTGGAAGAAAAGCAGGGAGCAGAAATTGATGGGCGATCTGTTTCACTCTACTACACAGGGGAGAAAGGACAAAGGCAAGAAAGAACTGGAAAGAATAGCACTTGGAGTGGTAAGTTAAAGTTCTACAGTGGGAGTTTGGAAGTCAGTTGTGTCTTTGTACTTTCACTACTTCATGATTAGCCGGAATTCACCTTTTGTTGATAATGGTAATTTAATATTCATGAATGAGGGCTATTTGAAATACTTTCCTTTGGAACATAGTAGGCAATTACATGTTTTTAAATTGGTATTTTATACTTTAAATGGCTTAAACCATGTATATTTTTTATTTTTGGTTTTACGAGACAGGGTTTCTCTGTATTGTTTGGAGGCTGTCGGTCCAGCCTGGCCTCGAACTCACAGATTTTTAGAGACAGGGTTTTTCTGTAGCTTTGGAACCTGCCTCCCAAGTACTGGGATTAAAGGTGTGCACCACCACCGTCCGCCTAATCTATGTATATTTTAGAAATCATATTCTAGGGCAACACAGAATAGTCATCTAGATAGGCTGAAAATGAAAGGAGCAAGGAAGGCATTGCTATGTATGATGGATACTATGTCTTGAATCAAATGTGGGTCTTATGATTATGGTATATGGCCTATGACTGGTGTCTGATTGTTTCCTTTAACATGGCATCTTGTGGGATGGGTTGGGAAGAGGCTTTAATTTACACAGACTTAGATTAACACAACTTGCTAATAATGTGACATCTTTGTACTTGCAGGTGAATCAAAAACTTTGGTTTTAAGTAACCTTTCCTACAGTGCAACAGAAGAAACTCTTCAGGAAGTGTTTGAGAAAGCAACTTTTATCAAAGTGCCCCAGAACCAACAGGGCAAATCTAAAGGGTAAATTGATTATCTTTGTGTTGCTAAATGTGAGTTGGACATTGTCTTTTTTTAAAGATATATTTGTTATGTCTGCATGCCAGAAGAGGGCACCAGATCTCATTACAGATGGTTGTGAGCCACCATGTGGTTGCTGGGAATTGAACTCAGGACCTCTGGAAGAACAGACAGTGCCCTTAACCACTGGGCCATCTCTCCAGCCCTGGACATAGTCTTAGTAGAGGTTTAGTAAGGGTAACCGATGGAACTTGATTTTGTTAGCTGGAAAACTGGAGTTATAGTTGTGTGGATGATAGGAAATATTAATAGCATGGGTAGTTAGTTACATGCTGGTATCACGTTATTGTGAGCTTAATTCTGAATACTGACTTTTAATCTTCAGGTATGCATTTATAGAATTTGCTTCATTTGAAGATGCTAAAGAAGCTTTAAACTCCTGTAATAAAATGGAAATTGAGGGCAGAACAATCAGGCTGGAGTTACAAGGACCCAGGGGATCGCCTAATGCAAGAAGTCGTAAGTCTGCTTGGCATGATGTTACTGAGGCTGAGTGGCAGGTTTTGAGCTTGTGTGGGGCTGACTTCTTGAAGTTGCTGCTGAGTAAATGACAACTGGATATGATGACTGATTACCTGAGAAATAATTGATGAAATCTCAAGAAAATTCCTCTAGATAGTCAAGTTCTGATCCAGCTGTGTCAGCTCAAAGCAGCAGCTTTTGGGTTTGCCACTGTATTCCCTCAGGTTCATGTGTCTAATCCAGTGTAGTCTCTTTACCTTTATTTACCTGGGATTAATAGTTTTTCTGGTTAAAAACAAGTATTTGAGACATTTTACAAAATCAGTATTATTAAGAATATTTCAAGATGGGCGTTGGTGGCATACACCTTTAATCCCAGCACTTGGGAGGCAGAGACAGGTGAATCTCTTGAGTTTGAGGCCAGCCTGGTCTACTACAGAGCGAGTTCCAGGACAGCCTCCAAAACAATACAGAGAAACCCTGTCTCTAAAAAACTTAAATATTTCAGTTGAATGTGGAATACATGACTATCTAAATCCTAGCCCCCAAAGCAGAACAAATGGATCTGAATTCTAGGCCAGCCAAGGTAACATAGTGAAACCTTATAAAATAGGCATTTTTCTCTTCCAGAGCCATCCAAAACACTGTTTGTCAAGGGTCTGTCTGAGGATACCACTGAAGAAACCTTAAAAGAATCATTTGAGGGCTCTGTTCGTGCAAGAATAGTCACTGATCGGGAAACTGGTTCCTCTAAAGGGTAGGTCATGCTGCTTTTCTTCGTGTGTTGTGCACAGACAGCTTGTCGATGCAGTAGTGTCTTCTCATTGAGCTCCTTTCTGTCAACTGGTGGCAGATTATGGATTCGCACGAGAAGAAGAGAGAGTTCGCAGAACTAGCACTTAACCATCTGTTTCTACAGAGGTTTGTTTGGCTGTTCTGTGAGACATTGAGATCTAAATTCATTCCAACCAGAATTTACCACATTTAGGTCTATATTGGTCTACATACAGTTGAGTACTTTCTGTACAATTACTATATGTGACTTGATATGTATATGTATGTGCTTGCTTTAAAAGGGTTTTTATTCTGTTTTAGGTTTGGTTTTGTAGACTTCAATAGTGAGGAAGATGCCAAAGCTGCCAAGGAGGCCATGGAAGATGGAGAGATTGATGGGAACAAAGTTACTTTGGACTGGGCCAAACCTAAGGGTGAAGGTGGCTTCGGTGGCCGAGGTGGAGGCAGAGGAGGTTTTGGGGGCCGAGGTGGTGGCAGAGGAGGAGGAAGAGGCGGATTTGGCGGCAGAGGCCGGGGAGGCTTTGGAGGTAAGCTGGAATCTTTTTGATTCCTAACGTGGTGGGGAGATCAATTCCCACTACTCTAGCACATTCATGAATGATATCTTGCCTTTCTGTAGGTCGAGGGGGCTTCCGAGGTGGCCGAGGAGGAGGAGGAGGAGACTTCAAGCCACAAGGAAAGAAGACGAAGTTTGAATAATTCCTTCCCAGTCTTTCCCACTTCATTTTAAAGAAAGGACTCTGGGGTTTTACACTGTTACCTGTTAAATGACAGAGCCTTTTAAGGACATTTCAAGAGATTTTTTTTCCTACAAATAGTTTTGGGGTTTTTTTTTTTTTGCGTTGGGGGTTGTAAAAGAATGTTTATCATGTTTTTTGCTTCAGTGACTTTAGGACAAATTAATTAAAAGTCCTAAACTCTGGTGCCAGACTTTTACTTCCTAAGGGTTCCTTTTGGAATGATGTTCAAGAACTCCGCAAGACCAATACTGCTGTTCAGATTCCAACCAGTGGGAATTTGAGATGTGTTCCTTCTGCTTTCAAGAATCCGGCTGCAAATGTGGAAACTTGGGGGGTGTCCATGCACGACTACTTTGTTACATTCTGACCTGTAAGTTTTTGTTGCAGATGCTGCATTTGCACCTAAGCTGGGTGTACTCGATAGTGGCGGTAAGGGACACGTGGGTCAGGGTTAATGGCAGTAAAAGTAAAGCCATACAAGAGTTTGGCTTATGTAATTAAAATGAGGCATACTGATGGTGTTCATCAAGGATGTGTTACCACACCCATCATTTTTGTTTCCTCTGGCTGTATGTTAGTACCCTATCCCTACCAAATGACTTTAAAAAAGGCTAGCCAGAGCTATTTGGCTTGAAGAAACCCAAATGCCCTCTGTGGGGTTACTCTTAGATCCTGTTGGGTTTGGTATGTGATGTAGCCTTTGGGTGATGCAAAGGTAGCCTCTCCCCTGTCAGGAAATGGGATGATACAGGCACTGTAGTGAGGAACAGCTCTTGATTGCTCGTATCCTAGTTCAAAAGCAGTTAATGGCTTTTAGCTGAAAGTATCTAAAGAAAAAGTCAAACTGGTTGGTAGGCAAATCTGAGTTTGAGACTATTCTCTGTACAGAGCAAGTTTAAGGACAGCCAGGGATACACACAAATCCATATAAAAGAACAGGCCCAGCATTGGTGGTTCACTCCTTTAATCCCAGCACTCTGGAGGCAGAGGCAGGTGGATCTCTCAGTTCAAGACCAACCTGGTCTACAGAGAGTGCCAGGAAAGGCTCCAAAGCTACACAGAAACCCTGTCTCGAAAGAAAAAAAATCAGAAGAACAAAAAAAGGAATGATCCTGTGCTAGCAGGGCAGGTAAAAAATTTTGTGCGGTGAGGATACAGGAAAGTTACCCTTTAGGATCATCAAAAGTCTGGTTCACAGTTGGAATACCTTCCCCCATTTTAAATTGGAGGGACTTGGCAGCCATCTTGGAAGTGGTAAGCAACCTTTAGGAAACAGTTGTCTTTCTTTATTCTTCCAGCAGGTGGCAATGTAAGTACACATGAAAACGGAAGGAGGGAAACCTGGCAGGTGAACGCCAAACGACCATGTTTTTCATCTGCTTTTGACCACTACTCTAGTGTGTATTGTTTCCTATTCTAAGGATGCTAGTAAGGTTGCCAAGTCTCCTAGCTTCCCAGTTCACCTGCCTGAACTCCAACTGGTAAAATACAAGCAGATACTTGGGTGACGGCTTTGACTCTAGGCTGAGGTAGAAAGGGAAGCAAAGAGCAAGTCCCCTTCCCCACCCTATTTTCTGTATGCAGCTTTTTTTCCTGTGTGTATGTCTGTGTACTTTGTACACCTGGCACCCACAGGACAGATTGCCCTGTAACTGGGTGCTAGGAATACACCTGGGTCCATTTCTGGAAGAACTGTTCTGCAGCCTTAGGATTAGCATCCCCAGGCTTCTCTAGCTCTGGCTTGCTGTCCATCTGCCAAGTGCTGAGATTAAAGGAGTATGCGTACCCCCACACCTGGGGGAGTAGCACATTTAGCACTAATTCCATCCAGTCAGTGGCAAACCCTTTGCCATGGAATTAAGAAGGGGCTCTTGTGGTTCTAATAGTAAAGAATGGAACCTGTTTTTGTTTGCTGTTGTCCATAAATGTAAACAGATGCCCATAATAAACTAGGGAATACCCAATTTACAGGTGTATTTAGTGGCATCAGATGGGCATTTTTGTGTGTGGTCAGAAAATAACTTATGGTTCTTTTCACCTTGTTGAAGCAGTCTATTGCTTTTCTTTTGGGTGGCATACTGGCTAGTTCCAGTTGGTTCCGGAAATAGGATCTGAGGATTAGAGATGCATGCCCCTTCACTGGCTTTTAGCTGGGATCCAGGGTTCCTGGTCAAGTACTCACTGATATTCTCCAAGTACTCACTGATAATCACCATCTTGGTCTTCAAGATTCTGGGATAAAAGGGATGTGCCACCTTGCCCAACTCCATGATGCATACACTTAGTTCTTAGGGTTCTTACCAAATAATGTCTTTTGGTCAATTCATTCTCTACTTCTACAGTTACATGTTAGTATAACCTGATACTATCATGTAGGCTAGTTCTTTGAACATTGATTTGGATACTTTTTATTGATCTGTGTTGTAGTTCACTGATTTCTTCTGCTAGGCCCTTTAGTGAAATTTTCAGGTGTCTTTATTTGTGTGAATGTTTGGCCTGTATTTATGTCTTAACTATGCATGCAGTGCTAGTGGAGGCCAGAAGAGGGTGGGTCCCCCAGTATTGGAGTTAATAATGGTTGTGAGAGGTGGGTGCTGGGAATCCAACTTGAGTTCCTAACAGCTGAACCACCTTTCTAGCCCCTGGAGTGTCTTTGCCTTTTCTAGGTTTTTGTGTTTTTTTGTTTTTTTGTTTTTGTTTTTGTTTTTCGTGACAGGCTTTCTCTGGCTTTGGAGGCTGTCCTGGAACTCACTTTGTAGCCCAGGCTGGCCTCGAACTCACAGAGATCCGCCTGTCTCTGCCTCCTGAGTGCTGGGATTAAAGGCGTGCGCCACCAACGCCCAGCTCCTTTTCTAGGCTTTTAATGGTTTACAGTTCACAAAGCCTCTATTGTGATTTAATATCCTCATCTTTCCCCGAAAAATTCCTAAGCTTCCACAGTGATTGAAGTACCTACTTACATTTTTTTTATAGGAAGGAAGCTTTATTGGGATAGGAGGGAGAAGAGAATTCATAATTGTCTTTCATGTGCATTGGGGTTTGATCTGCTTGTGTGTGTGTCTGTGACAGTCAGATCCACTGAGTTAAATACAGTGAGCTACCTGTCGGTGCTAGAAACTGAACCCGGGTCCTTTGGAGAGTAGCCAATGGTCTTAACTGCTGAGCCATCCACTTATTTGTAATTTTAACGTTGAGTTGTGGTTGAGCACTTTGTTCAAAATATGCACGTCTAAACTGAGCACTGTCAGTATATATAGAGACCAACTTGATTATACCGGAGACTTGGGTATTCAGTCTTGCTAGCTCAGGTTTATTTTGTTAGACCTAAGCTGTGACCCTTCAGATACCCACTTTCAGTGAAAAGCATAAACTGTCGAGCCCCTCCAGCTGGGCAGAACTTGAGTTCTCTAGCACCAGCTAGCTACTGAATTTTTTCCATCTTGTTTATTTTTGAGGCAAGGTTTGTGTAGCTCTGATTGTTCTGAAATACAATCTGTAAAACAAATTGGCCTTGAACTTCCAGAGATCCACCTGCCTCTCTCTGCCTCCCAGGTGCAGAGATTAAAGGTGGCCAGATACTGAAATCTTTAGCTGGCAAGAGGCTCAGTGACTGAGCACAGCTGTTCTTGGCAGCATATCCCAGTTCAGTTCCCAGCATTCAGATGGTGCTTTGTAGCCATCTAAATACAGTCCCAGGAGAGCCAAGGTCCTCTTCCGCTTCTTTCTTTGGCACTTTATGAACATGGTAAACAGACATAAATGCTAGTAAAATACCCATCTGATGAAAAATTAAAAGTTGGAAGCAATTTTTGAATGATTTATATGCATTGATGTTTCAATCTGCATGTATGAGTGTTAAATCCCCTGCAGCTGGAGACAGTTGTGAACTGCCATGTGGGTGCTGAGAATTGGATCTAATGTCCTTTGGAAGGATAGTCCATGCTCTTAACCACTGACCCATATGTCCAGCCCCTGGAAACAATTTCTATGTAAAATTTTTTTGCTTTCTCTCTTGTGTTTCTCATGTTTATGGTTTCCCCAAACTGTCAGGCTGTGGCAGAAATGTAGAAAGCCAGGCTAACAAACACTTTGGAGGTGTGTGCCTCAGTTATATCTTTATATATTTATCTTTATGGTACTTAGGATTAGACCAGGACTTCAGCTTATACATGAAATGATTATAGTTTTTTGGGGCTGGAGAGATGGCTCAGAGGTTAAGAGCACTGGCTGCTGTTCTAGAGGTTTTGAGTTCAATTCCTGGCAACCACAACCATCTGTAATGAGATCTGCCCTCTCTGACCTACAGGCAGAACAGTGCATACATAATCTTTTTTAATGATTTTTTTGTGTGTGTGTGTGTATGGTCTTCTGTCTGCATGCCAGCAGAGGGCACCAGATCTCATTCAGGGTGGTTTTGAGACACCATGTGGTTGCTGGGAATTGAATTTAGGACCTGGAAGAAAAGTCAGTGCTCTTAACCTCTGAGCCATCTCTCCAGCCCTGATTTTTTTAGTTTTTAATTGGTTTTGGTTTTTGTCTTACTGAGCCAGGTTCTCTCTCACAATGTAGCTCTGGCTGCCCTAGAACTCACTCTGGACCACGCTGGCCTTCACCTTCAGAAATCTTCCTGCTTCTGCCTCCTGAGTTCTGAGAACAAAGTTGTGCACAACTAACAACTTGCCTGCAGTTTTTCATTTTGATGGTTTAAATCTAAAAAGTCTGTATTGCTACTGGTATCTATGTTAGGTAATTTCATTTATAAACTTGATTGGATTGATACATGTCTAGGGCATTGGTGAATTACTTTACATGTTGCTGTGACAAAATACTTGGCCAAAGTAATTTGATAGAGGAGTTTGTATTGATTCATCATTCAAGAGTATACAGTCCATGACAGGAACATCAAGGTGGTAAGAGCTTGAAGTGATGGATGCTTATGCTCAACTAGCTTTTCTCCTTTCCATTCAGACCAGAACTCTAATCTAGGGAGTGGTGTACCTGCTTTTAGAGTGTATCTACTTCTATTAACCTTATGTAGATAATATCAGATACACCTAGCTGATTCCAGGTCCAGTTCAGCTGACAACATGGTGAGGCACAACCTTAAGTATATGTGAGAGCATTTTCAGAGAGGATTAGTTGAACTAGGAAGACCTACCTTAAATGTGGGTGGCATCCCCAT